TAGAATGTTCAAAAACTTAAGAAGAAATTAAAATAAGTTACAGTTTTTTAAAAAAAATTTCCCATCTCTAAAACGATATTTCTAAAAAATTAAAATAATCAACTCGATGAGATTGTGTATTTTTCAAGCACTTTAATTTATCTTCAGAAAATCGAAAATTTTGCTTTTAGTTTTGATGTATAATTTTAAAATTTGAAATATTTTAAATTCTGTTAACAAAAATTGATAAGTGGAAATAGAAGTTTAGATTCCTTTAATGTAACTAAATGAAAAAATGTTAAAAAATTAAAATATTATAATTTCAATAACGTTCAATATTAAAAATCTCATTTTAAATTTTCTCTTAAGTGCTCTGCAGAAGATTGTCTTTTTATTTAGTTTTGAACATTTTTAAACTCGCACAATACAAATTCAGAAAAATACACGTGTTTTCAAAAAAAAAAAAAAAAGCTTAAATGACACGCCTTAAATCCCGTAAAGAAATAAATAAAATGAAAGGACCTTGGTCACATACAAAAATTTGATCCAAACAACCATGACGACACTTTAAATTTTTAAAATTTTCCTTTGCGTGTTTTGCAGAAGATTTTCGATCGAGCTTTGTATATTCTTAAAATAACACAACAAAAATTCAGAAAAATATATGCATTAAAAAATAAAGTTTCAAAAACATGCCCCTTGACTCCTCAAAGAAAAAATAAAAGAAGAAGGAAATGACCTGGCCACATACTAAAATTTTACAGAAACGACCATGACCTTAAATATTTGGTACTCGAAGTTTGAAATATTAGCAAATTTCATCACAATTAAGTAAGTTGCACAATCTTTTCAATCTAACTTTGTATTTTATTATAAAAGCACAGCATAAATTCATGCATTTAACGAAAAAGCTTCAAAAATATGCCCTGGACCCCTTAAAGCAAAAAAAAAAAAAAAAAAAAAAAAAAAAAAAAAAAAAAAAAAAAAAAAAAAAAAAAAANTCATTTTCTCAAACAGAGGCAGCTTCATCAGTTTCCGAAATGGTTAATTGATCGCTAAGAGGCGACATTTGGGAAGAAAAAAACTTTAAACAAAATACAAAAGATGACCCAAGTATTTGAAAGGAAAGGGATTTGGAGAAAAAGGAAGAAAAAAAATTATCAACTAGATCACAGGTGAGTTAAACCTAATTCAAGGGCTAGTTGAAAGCGGACCATTCCAGCTCAGACTGAAATGCCCTAGAAAATTGGGTCTCGATTATTAACTTGATGGGCAAGATAATGTGTCTCATAACATTCCTGAGAGAGTGGTACTGTCTTCTACTCGAGGCACTTTTTTTGATACTTTTTAGAAGACCTCCTTATCACATGCTTAGTTAATTTTCAAATGATATTAAGAGGTAAAAGTAAATACATGAAACATAATTTGAATTCTTCTTACTTTTAGATTCGCATGGTTTTTTGCTAAGATAAAATTTTATTTTTAGATCTTTTCGGGTGCTGCATATAGAATTATCATGATATCTATGCATAAGGTGACGTATATTAGCTTATATTAGTTAAAGTATGATATAAATAGCCAGTAAAAAAGCGAAAGTATGCGTTTTGTCGGTCATGAGATTGTTAGATTAGCCGTCTCGGCTATAATATGCATCCAGCTGCAAGGAACTAAATGATTTCATTAGGGTGTGCCTAGTTGGTGTGATAAAATTCTTGCTGTTTAACCGTATAAGGTGAAAGCCATCAATAAACGGTTTTTCTAACAGTTTGCATACCATCTTTATTATGGTAATTTGACTTAGTTTAAATAGAGTAAGATTACAATTAAATAAAGTGTCATTCAACCATTTTTTAAACAATACATCAGAAAGAAAAATAGGCAATACTTCGAATGAAAGGTTTTTCTAAAAGTTACGGTTAAGAATACGTTATATACTTAATTATTTATGAACTATTGAAAATTGCTTTGACATTCTATTTTCTACTCTTTGTAAATATGTATTGTTTTTAAATAATTTTTTCTCCTAAACCCACTGCATAGTCCATGAAAATAGATTACTCTAAAATTTGAGCTCATTTTTCAGAACATATGTTTATATAAACCGGCTTTTTAGGTTATGTAAACATGAGATTAAAGTTTAAAAACAAACTAATTATTCGAATAAAACTTCCCACCCTTACGTTGCACCTCTGGTTTTAAGAAAACAACTGTACGTATGTCATTATTTCTTCAAAAAAAATATCTTTCAAAAGCATCAAAATATTTATATTTTTGAAACAACTCATTTTAGTACTACTTTTCATAAATTTTTTTTTAATTTATGCATGTCTCTTCTCTAATTTTGATATTTCAATCGAATCTATTTGAAGAATCACACTAATTATTTGCATAAAAGGATTGTAATTATTCATTTCAGCTAAAATGATTATAAAGTAGAACAGAATGACAATAGGAGTTGTTGTTGTTGTTTCTAATGTCACTTGCCACACGGGAAAGCCTGCTTGGTGAAACCGAGCAAATTCAAGGCAGAGTGTACGTTTCTTGCTTTTTCAGTGGAGCCATCCTATGGCCAAGAATTCGTCTTCAGCCATACACACGTCACAGCCCGTTTTTTAGGGCGGACCCATTCATACATCCACCGATTGTAATTTTGACCTGAATCAGAGAACGATTGATCTCAAATCCAGTACCCCCAGAGGTATTGATTTGTTATGGGAACAAGGAGGACTTTGCGACTCGACAAATTTAACGTGCATCAGTCACCATTTACTACGGGGGGAGTCTTCGGCCGGCGGGGTTCGAACCAACGAACTCTCAGACATGGGCCCTGCGCCCTACCGATTAAGCTATACCGGCCCATAGGAGGACTATTTTTATGATATTCAAAAGTATTTTTATAATATTTTCTATTTCCAAAAAGTTTAATTAAAAACAAAAATAACATTAGATGTACTAGCTCGAGTTCAATTCACACTGAAGTTCTATATCCCAATGCTAACAGCAAATTGAGAAAATTCTTTGTAAATTTGTTCACTTATTAATTAAATATCATGCAGCCTGTAGAAAAAAAAATTCAATAAATTATCGAACAAAAGTTTAAATAGGGTCATTTTCAACGTATCGTCTATTATCGGATTACAATGCGCATTTAGTAATGCTTGGATTTATATTTTGTTTTAAACAAACATTTATGACATTATACATATGATAAGGGAGAATAAAACTGATTTCTTTGAATGACTTTTTTAATGATTGGATTTTCACTCACTAAGGTGTGATCTTAACACTTTAAGTATGTTAATTTCTACTGTATGCTAATTAAATTTTTAAGTCATAGTAAAAGATTCACAGTTCCTGAATAAATATACCCTTTTTTTAACTTCATATTTTGGAATTTTCAGATCTTAGTTATGAGCAGGATGATAGCATTTTGCTCATTCAGCAGATCTGTTTAAAGATAGATAAACCTCTTCCTACAAGGAGAAATAAATTCTGGTAAAATTACCGTACTGTATAATAATAAGATTTCTGGTTAAAATAAAAAACATAATTCTGGTAATAAAACCAAATTATACCGTATTTAAACCATTAAATTTCGTAATTTTTTCCATTCATATAATAAATTCCGTTTTACAAAATTATAGCTCTTATAATCACACATTTGGTGCAAAATACATAGTTGAAAAGCAAATTTACCCGAATAAATAGTTTTTTTATTCCATGCTTTAATGTATGATCATAAAATTACCTAATATTGTGACATTTACCAATTTTTATCACTATATTTTCTTGTGAAATTTACCAAAAATCGTTACCAAAGCGTTTTAGTAAAAGTTACCAAGCTTTCTGGTGTTCCCCTAGAGCCAGAAATACGGTACATTTTACCATGTTCTGATAGTTTTGGCCATAATTTTGCGCAGTGTACTGTCACATCCAGTGGTCGGAAGTAGCGCGCTGCAAGAGGTGAAACTACTGTAGTCGTTGCTTTTTTCCGTTGTTTGTAGTGCAGTACGCTACTTTTTAAATGAAGTAGTGCAAGAAAGCAGTAGTTTGTAGCGATTCCTGAAAACTACTTTTAACGATAGTTAAATATAGTAACAAGGTTCAAACGCAAAAAAATTTTCGAATCTGATTGATGCAAACCCGCCTTCACGGGCCCGTCAACGTACGCAATGAGAATGCCTCTGTGTCCAAATGTCAATAGGATCTACGTCTTATGCTCGGAAAAATTGGTGCGAAATCGGTTGAATTGATCCTGAGAAATCGAATTTTAAATATCTGACTTTTTTTAAAATTTGATTTCACAGGTACTATAAAGTACGTTTTTTTGTATGATTTCGCTACTTAAAATATCGTATGTATTAATTTATGAGCATATTTGATGTCACCCCCTCAAACTAATAAGATTGAATCCTGGAACTTAAAGATCCGATGCTTAGATCAAAAGTTATTCAGGGTGGTCCGTTTCTTGTTTTTCTCACTGTACTTTATTTCTTGGGGGATATAAAAAAGCATTAATCACTTTAAATCACAAATATTTGATTTCCTAGTAATTCTTAAATCACTGTCGAAAGAAAACATAGAGTTTGAAAGTTAAGAGAACAAATTTGTAAAAAGTGCTTTGAAATAAAAAACTATTTCATTTAATCATGAATTAAAACTTCTTAATATCTCCTCATTCAAAATTATTTTGAATATTGGTGAAAAATAAGTTCTAAAGTTAAGTTTGTCTTCTAACAGTAGCAAAGTTGTGACTACATTTGGAAAGTAGTTTGTAGTCGCTATGTTTAAAAAAAGTAGTTTTGGTTGTTGTTGACCATGATTGTAATAAAGTAGTTGCAGTTGTAGTTAATTACAAAGAAAATGCTTTTTTTCCTACCACTGGTCATATCTATGACATTTAAGTTTCACATAATAGTATTTTTTAAAACTGTTTAAGATAACTTCCACGAAAACAATTATTTTAATAATTATTTTTAACTTTTATTATTTATTATAATAATTTTAACTATATGTTTTTTTATAGATCTTGTTCTGAAGCAAAATGCCAAGTCGTATCCAAAGTTCAAACACGTTTCTTATACACCGGTAAACAGAAAATTTATAAAAGTTTTCTCAACTATGAACATCAAATTCTTTGATTTGCTTCAAAAATTTTACGAGAAAACGGCTGCATCAAATAATAACGATGAGAAAATCATATTAAAGATTTTGTTGTAAACAAGGTTCATAATCCTCCTATTTCATGAATATCATACCAATCGAATCGGATCATTGATATTTTCTCATTCCTAATTATGATATACTACTGCAGTCTTCAAATTATTGAAAACTACCTTTATCATGGAGCTATCAAGATATTATTTTGTCGGAACAAACAAACAAAACTGTCTTGTTTTCATATGCTCAACAAAAATGCATTCAGATAACTTTGCAATCAAGTTACTATTTCCGATGTAGTTTGATTGCCTCGCAGCGTTTTGTCAAATGCAGCATCTTTAACTTCATAGAATAACTGGCTGCCTACTTGCGACCGACATATCGCCAAGTGAATGCAACAGCAACAAACGCGGAAGCCTGGAGGGGAGGAAGATGGAGTCAAGGTTGGTTAGGTCCACTCACACTGACTAAGTTGGGATAGAGTAAAAAATAGCAAAAAAGCTGTTTTGAATTGATTGCAGCTACCTACGATAGCTCAATAGGTCGTCTTCAGCCATGTGTATATATTATGTACACTATTGAATGGATTTGCCGGTAAAAATGAGTTGTTCAAACTAATTTCACCTTAAGCTCGTTAGAGTAAAGCTTCTTAAAATATCACTTTCAAATCAATCATTGTTTTACAATGGTTGCTAGGAAGTAACTCAATAGTATAAAAATAGTATTCAAGTAAATAAGTTTTTATTAAATTCTGTTCTTAAAAATAGATAGTGAACACTCGGGATTGTAATCCATATAGTTTAAAGATTATATATTTTTTAAATGATTTCTTTAAATTATACGGGTAATCAGGGGTCTGTCCAGACATTTTGTAAAGAGTCCGTTTTTGTAAAATTGTGAAAAAATTACTCGTAATTTGTGAATATAAAATAAACGTTAAGACACATTCTTTCAACCAGAGTCCGCTTTTGTGAATTTGTGCAAATAGGGTCCGTTATTGCAAAAAAACTTTTTCAAAGGGTTTTTAAATTGTAAAGACATACAAGATTATGCTCAACACTGTAAAATTATAATTAAAAAAAATTAAATATTTAAAAATAAACAGCAATTGCAGCTACTAAATTAGCGATGCAACATATAAATATTTGGTATTTAGCCTATACTGCTGAACGCAGAATATTCATTTCTGACGAATAAAGGAAGAAGCGTCTGCGGAAGACAAAATTTAGTTCGTTTACTTCTGTGTTTCTCCCCCCACCCCTTCCTGGGAAGGGTTTATTCGATTAACAAAACAATAATGAAGATAAACAAATTTGTGAAGGGTCCTATTAAAAGATAAATTATTTTGTGAAGGGTCCGTTTTTAAGTTAAAATATTTTGTGAAGGGTCCGTTCTTATGAAAAGATATTTTCTGAACCAAATGTTGGACCCAAATTTCTTCTAAACAAACCCCTGGTAATGATAATAGTTATAGTTCATACTCCTACCACGTTCTCCGTAACGTTCTTGCAATGTGGGTTGTTCTACTAAAATTATGGGTTTCTCTAAAAAATAAATAAACCTGATATGAAAATATTTATTTAATTATTTCGTAAGGGTCAAAAGTTAATTTAGAATAAGATTTTAGAATCAAAATTTGTTTAATTTTTATAAATTATCAGTAATTCAAATAATGAATACGGAATTTTAAAAAATTGTTTAATAAACTTACTATGGTAATTAAAACAAGTAGAATATCTTTGTCGGCAATTCATATAAATGGTTGGCCATATGAAGGCATTAGCAACGAAAATAAGTCAAAGGAGAGTTAAAAGCCAGATAAAGTAATTATTGCTTTCATAAAGAAAGAGATACTTCTTAATTCAAAAAATTAAAATGAAAGCAACATGCGCTACATTGTCAGCATTTCCATTCTAAAATTATGGTAAAATAACCGTCAACAGCCTGTCTACTCAATTAACCGTAAAGTTTACGTTAACGAACAATTTTTTTTAACATTACGGTTTTGAAGCCATTTACAACTACTGCAGTTATAAAACCATAAATACAAAACTACGTGGTTTTTTAAACATTTACAACTAGCATAGTTTCAAAATAGTAAAAAAAAAAGAAATTTAACTGGTCATTGGAGCTAGGCATTTCGATAGATCATGGGTATTAGAGTGTACAGGACACAAATTGGAGAGTGTAGGGCACTGGAAAAAACCCATGTCTTAAGGGGAATTGAATAAATATTGCAGTGTCAACGATGGGACTCAAACCCCCATTCTTTTGGTCACGAGATGTAATATGCACACATTTACAAGAAACTAAGTGGCTCATTAGGTGGGCCCAGTTGGTGAGAAAAAATTCGTTTGTTTAACCGTATTAAGTTAAAGCAATTAATAAACGGTTTTTCTCACAGTTAACAGTTTGGATACTATCTTTTTATGGTTATTTCATTGTTTTGTTTGAATACGGTAAAATAACAGTTAAATAAATTGTTATTATAAACTGCTAATTAACCATTTTTTCCGAGAGTGGACATTTGCTCAACCAGTTTAACCAAGATGGATTAGAAGCTATATTAAGAGGGCTCTTCCAAGGCCATCTAGCCAAGTGTTTGATTAGCTAACTTAGGAAATGACAATAGAAGAAACGTGGCCCTCCCATGAAAAAAAATATCCTTTTACCAAACTTTCAATTTTATGTCAAAATCAGTCATTTAAATTACCGATTTTTCTTTTCTTTAAGTTTAAAGGTTTCAAATATTCAAATGTAACTTGTTGTATATGTTGTAGGCTAATTCGAAAAATATGTTTCTTTAAAGGGAGAAATATATTCTAGGAAAATTACCGCTCTATACAGCAATAAAATAATCAAAATTTACCCCATTTACAAAATTTTACAACATATTATTAAACCATATTTAATTGTTAAACTTACTGAAATCATTACAAAAGCGTTTCGGTGAAAATTGCCGAGCTTTCTGGTATTTTCATACAGTCATAAACATGGAAAACTTTAGCATATTCTGGTAGTTTTGACCATATTGTTTTCGTCAGTGTGCAAACCATCGACATCATTTTGCAATACGCCTGTCTAATGTTATAAGCCTCCATTATCTTCATAACAGCTGAACAACTTAATGCTTATCATAATGTGCCGAGATGTTTGAAGACTAATTAGACATCTGTCATGATAAACGACTTACAGCAATAAGTCTAAGCAAATGAAAGATTATTGAGTATATTTGTGTATTTTCTATTATTGCGTATTTTCTATTAATTTTAAAGCATACTAGCTGATTGTAATAAACTAGAAAAATATCAAGCTGAGCGAAAAATAATTTAATTCTTTTTCCAATCAATTTACGATCTAAGCCAATTATCATATTTATCTTCATAACAGCAAAACAACTTTATACTTATAACAATGAGCTGAGATTAAATACTATTTTTGCTTGCATCCCATTGGGCATGAAGCTGATAGTTAAGTTCTAAATCATTTAAAAAATCTCTTAAACTGTAATTTATAACAGTATATTAATGCTATTTGCACAAAAATGATAATTGTATGACGGTTAATAAGATTAGACCACCCTTCGAAATCACTTTATCTTAAAATGTAATACAGAATTACATTATAATAATAATAAATAACTCAAGAACGCGAAATCTAATTAAATCCATTATTTTTTTTCCCAACAGTTTTCAAATTCAATGTGTGGTTTGTAAATAATCATATCTTTCCGGCATTATGTTGCTCGGCACAGTAGCGTTGATACGAAATTTCATTCAAGAAAACCATTACTTTAGATTAAAGCATTCGCTGTCATGGAAACAATTTTCAAACAAATATTAAAATAAGTAAAACTCAAAATCAAAACCTTCAATGTTATAAAATATCTTTTCAGATAAATATTTTTTTATATAACTAAATCCAATCAACCAATTCACACGTGTAATGGAAAGTCTCCTATAAACACTTGGAGAAGGTATGAAGATAAAAGTTAAACAAAGGAATAAATTTTGATTAAAAAATTGCGATCGCCAAAAGGTGATCACAGGTTATCCATTGGCAAAATGGTTGTCGTCTAATTTTTTGTTCAGCCTCAGTAAGTTTAGACCTTGGCATCGTTTTTTTTTCTTGCTTTAACTCTACCCTTTGGGACCTAGTCAGTCAGTTAGGGACCCTCTTCATTTGTGATATTCACCTGAATAAGTATTGAAAACGATCCAGTTTGAACTTTAGGTTAGAATTTCTGATTTTTAATTAAATCAAAAATATCGTTCAAATGATGAAATTCTCTTTTATTCACAACTCAAGAAGTATTTATGGGATCTCTCTGGTCCTATATCTCAAGAATAAACTCACTAACTTAAAGCATAACTAGATTGGGTATAATATGAAAAAAAACAGAACTACTTCCACTTCAAAAATTTTACTAGGAATAACATTTACCTTTTAGTTTAATTAATAAACTGAGTTTTAAATATGTTAACTAAATTCATAAACTTAGGTAAAACAACAACAAAAATTATTTCCAAAGGAACTAGACTAATACAATTCCAACCTGGCGAGTGACGACTTATAACAAGACACTTCCATCAAACGAAGTGTCTTGTTATAAGTCGTCACTATAAGTCGTCAATCAGGTTCGCAGAAAATGCTGTTTACTAGTTAAATTTAGTAGAAATAACACGATCTGTGACGTAGGCTATAGTATACCTAAAACCCCTGAATTAGACAGGCGGACTCATCATCTACTTCTGCTCCAGAGAGCTAACATAAGCACAATACTAAGATAACGTTAACTTGTGAACTTTTTTGCTCCAATATTGCTTGATAGATCAGCTCTGATAGTATAGGAGCTTTAAGTATACCCAATTAAAAGTGAAAAAAAAAAGAATTCTAAAAACATTTTCAAACAACAGAGGTTGCCATAG